GGTTTAGGGTTTAGGATTTAAGGTACCGGAACCCTAGGCTTCCAACCCTAAGCCCTTTGACCCCAATTTTCCTTGCCTAAGAGATGTTTTGGAGACTCTCTGGGTATGTGGTTTGCTTGTGTCGAGTTCCTGCCTCCGCATTCAGAAGGGCTTGGGGGCGGAGGCTTTTTAGGGCGTTTAGGCTTTTCGACTTTCAGGCTTTTGACTTTAGCTGAACTTAGGGTGCTTTAGGCTTTAGGCTTTTTAGGGTTTAGGATTCTTGGGGTTGAGGGTCTTAAGGTAGAGATGCCGTGCGACACACTCAATCACCACAGCTCTTGATCCTCCAAAGATCCGGGCCTTCAGGGCTCAGAGGGTTTAGGTTTACCGTAGGGGTCGGTTTTCTTAGTTTATACTCGTGCACCTTTGTGTGAGCTCTTGCAGTGGAGCAGAATGAACTATCGACTCGGCAACATTTTCTTCCACAGGGTGCGATTCTCTCTTCTTCGCGCGGCCTTTGCCATCCCAATCCCTAAACCCTAAACCCTAAGCCCTCGCGGACCTTTTCCAGCTTCACAGGGGCCCCTGTCGTGCTTGCCGCACCGCTGGTTAGAATAACTCCATTTGGAAGGGCAGGTCCTGCCCTGAACCTCCGCCCGTCCCACCATCAGCGACACTCCAAAAGCCCTTATCTTACTTAAGGAATACCCGCCTTAGATTGTAGTTGGTCCGTAATTGTCCGTAATATGATTTCAGGTATATTCCTTGATTAAGTGGTTTTGGAGTCTCTAAATGACCATCACCATCATCATCATCATCATCATCGTCACCATCATCGTCATCACCGTCATCACCACCACCATCACCGGTCATCATCATCATCATCATCACACCATCATTTTCATCATCACAACCATCAAAATCATCATCAGCATCATCACTGTCATCATCATCGTCGTCATCATCATCATCATCACCGCCGCCATCACCATCATCATCACCGCCATCGCCTGCCATCTCCATTCTTGTTGCTACTGTTTCATTTATCTCAGGAGTCATTATCAGTGTAAAGGCTTTGTTTTTGCTATTGTTATGCTGATTTCTCCCTTCGGGCCTGGTTTTGAGTCTAGGGGGCCCCCGGGCCATCTGCACGCTAAGTCGCGCGCCTCGGACATTCGTTTGAATGAAACTCTACAGAATACGTTTCGGCACGGGCAGTGCTCCAGAAGACAAACCCAAACCTTTTACACACAGCCTAGGCTCACACGACTCGCCTACCATCAGCGGCTCGCCACGCCTCTGATGCTGAGCGTCTTGCCTCTTGCCTGAGGTGAGGTCAGGAAATTCACTAGGTGCCCCAGTAGTACCCTTTTGCCCTTTTTAGTTTGGGGTCCCCCTCATTAACACCGAATATTAAGCAAAAGGGGTGCCCTTATTATTTTGGGGTTACTGGGGAACCTGGGAAACTGAGACCTGGGCCGTGACGGGTCGGAAGCGGAAGCTCTAGGGCGTGTGACGTGGAAGCTCTTTTCACAATTTAGGTTTAGGGTTTAGGGTTTAGGGTTTAGGGGTTAGAGGTTTTCGGGGTTCAGGGTCAGCCCCTTTAGCCAAAAGCCCTAAACCCTCACTCCCGGCTGCGAGAGCAAGCACCTCACGGTCTGGGTGAAGAACCCTCGGTTAAAGGGTGTCGGGCGTAGCGTTTGGGGTTTTAGGGCTTAGGGTTTTCAAACAAAGCCATCTCAACAGCCTCTTTATCAAGCGCAGAAGCGCCGGATCCTGAGCCCCTAATGCAGCGGACGGAAGGAATTGTTTAAACATCCCGTTATTGTCCCCTAATATGAAAAATACCTTAAATACCCTTCTTCTAGTTATTCAGGCTGCTGAACCCCGAACCCTGTAGCCCTTATCATAGAACCCTCATAGAGCCCTTACAGCAATTCTTCAAGAACCCTGAACCCTCTTTGCTAGACCCTTGCAGCCGTATAACAAGGGGTTTGGGGCCTTTTCGGGTTTAGGGTGTAAGGCTTGAGGTTTAGAGTGTGGGGTTGCAGGGTTTGGGGGTTTGGAATTAGACGTTCGGGGTTGGGGAGTCGGGGGTGTGTGGTGTAAGTTCATGAGGAAACCTGCTTGGGCATTCGGAAGTACCAAAAGGCTTTGTTGGGTTTAGGGTTTTAGGGTTTTAGGGTTTTAGGGGTTTAGGGTTTTAGGGTTTGGGGTTTAGGGTTTAGGGTTTAGGGTTACTATTGGTGGCTCCTGGTTGTCTTCCATCATCCCTCTGTAGTCAGGTTTTGGAGGAAACCGAACCGATCACATGTTCCAGTCCGTGTCGTTGCTATGGGACGTATCGAAGAGTCCCGCTTCAGTCGTCGTCTGATGGCAGCGACAGCAAGTCGAATTCCAAGTCGGATGGCACTGCTAGCCCGGATGATGATGGCAAGCGGACCCCCGAGTAAACCCTAAACCCTAACCGAGGAGCCGGATGAGCCTCCTGATGTGGAAGTGCTGGGTGTGAAGCAGAGCAGGAACGGAACCAGGGGCCCCACAAGAACGAGCCGTTGCGCCTGGTGGAGGCCAACACCCGCAAGTGCAACATTTGCGGCCAGGTCATCAAGAGCACGAAGAATTGGGTGATGCAGAAACTGTGAGAGAAATTGAGCCGCAAGCTACATTCACATCAATCTGGCTCTCGCTCAACACACCACTTGGAATGCATAATTATGGACTTCAACAATGACTACCAGACAGTAACTTTGTAATCTCTACCCCATGAGAGAGTTTTGAGTTTTCTCGTAATATTGATGACGCAAGGCTGCTGCTTGCTACTTACGAATAGCGTAATAGTTGCTATTGTTGCAGTCGCTGGAATCAACATGTTGAGTGCCAAGCACGAAAGGTTGAAAAGCCTGCAGACTGCAAGTGATGTAGGAACCCCATTAAGAGCCCCCGCTGTTATTGGAAGTCTTGCCACGAATCCTACTAGATTGGAGATGTAGAGGTTGGGTGTCTGAATCTTCTCAATTACTCAGGTGTGGTGCCTTTGGTGGTTCCCGCCTTCTTCTACAAGCCCGTGCAGATGCCACCATCCGCAACAGCCGGGGGAAGACTGCCGCAGACTTGGCCAGAGAGGCCCGCTGTTGGATGTTATGTAAGCCTGCCGCCATAAACCTTGCGCTCAAGGCCCGTTCGCGCCGGCAAGTAGCAACCGTAGTCGTGCCAGGAGGAAGAGGAGATGTCGTAGTAGCAGTAGTAGTAGTAGTAGTAGTAGTAGTAGCAGTAGTAGTAGTAGTAGTAGTAATAATAATAGTAGTAGTAGCAGCAGTAGTGCTGGTAGTCGTCGTAGTAATAGTAGAAGAAGAAGTAGTAGTAGTAGTCGTAGTCGTAGTGGTAGTGGTAGTGGTGGTAGTAGTAGTAGTAGTAGTAGTAGTAGTAGTAGTTAGTAGTAGTTGGTAGTAGTTAGTAGTAGTAGTAGTAGTAGTAGTAGTAGTAGTAGTAGTATTAGCAGCAGTTAGTACTTGTGAATGAAGTCGCTGTCGGCATCGTAGTAGTTGCACCAGTTAATGGAAGCAGAAAAGCATGATCAGTAGTAGGTGGGATGGTATTGAGTGCTAGTAGCTAGCAGTGTTGCAGAAGCAAGAGCCCAAGTTTTCCGGCTCAAACCTTGTTCCTTTTTACCAGCTTGCTGTGTGCAGGTCATGATTTCGATGCCTTGTTGGTGTTCTCCGAGCACGGGTACGTTTACATGTTGCAGGCGTTTTGCTGCCGGCAGTGCATGCTTAGAGCTGTTGCTTGGTGTTTGAAGAGGCTCTGGACGTCCCCTTGGTCAAGAAATGCAGCATGCAAGGTGCAGAGTTGAAGGACCTGCCACGGCCGGACTTGGGATTCGCCGAGCTCTGACGACAGTACAGATAGGTGAACTGAGCTGGAGCGGATTTGCAGATGCAGGCGGAAGCCAGCTGATACCCGGACCAAACTGCACTGAACACAGGACTTTCTGCCAGAGCTCCAGGATCATCGCATAACGGCCCTGGTCACTGTCGCTCATCGCTGCCTCAGGCCCGTGAGTGCATGCCTATGATTGCCTATGCCTGAAGCATTGGGATAAGAGGCGCTGGGAGGCGAAGAGCAATTGCTTCGGAGGACAGCTGTCGATATGCTCGCCTCAGGGACCAAACAGACGACTTCGTGGTGCTTGTGTCCAAGAAGGGCTTCGCCAAGAAGGTCGACGTACCTTTTGAATGATCCAGCATGTGTTTCGCACTTCGTCGTTTTCGGACCATGACATTTTCGTAAATGGCTTCATTTTCGTGACAGTCGATGCTGGCCCGTTCAAGCGCTCAGTAGGTACTGCAGCTGAGCTTTTCGCTCGCCGTTCGCGCTTCCCCCTTTTGGCTAGCAGGTCTCCATCGACCGCTTTCGCGGCCTGCGCCCAGGCAAAGGGCTCCCCTGCATGAAACTGGCGCAGAACTCAGAGCGCAGCATTTCTGCATTAGAGAAGACACTGGAGTAGACTGGGTATCAAAGCGGACATAAAGTAGTGGCTTTCATGTTCAATCGAGTTATGGCGTCACAGCAACCACCAGTACTAAACAGATCAATATCAACCCGTACCTTCTTGGAGAAGGCCTGCCACGATCCGCATCCACTGGCGTCAAGTTCCACGCAGCTAGGGTCGACGTTGCGTACCGTAGTGCCGGCACTGGCACACTTAGAAAGACCTCAGAGGGAGAAGCTTGCACTTGCACCTTCGGTGCGTCACTCGAGTCTCACCGCAAAGACCATGACCTCACACACTTGGTGCAGGCGGACGTGGTCCATGTGCGCGCTGTTAGTAAAGCCGTTCTCGCTTTTTCTTTTTGCGGTCTGTCCAGCAAGGCTGCTGACGATGAGTTGCAGTGGGCACACAAGGAGAAGCCAGTGTTTTGCCCTTCCTGGCCAGTTGTTTGATGCGTATGCGCGCAGCTGCAAGTTGCGTGAAGCTGGTCGTCCGCTCTTCTGAATAAGTACTGTAATTGCACATAGCAGGGTGAATAAGGTGGGAGCCTGCCCTGACGTTGGCAGGCCACGGCAAACTCTGCACTAGTTGTGGCAACAGCGGAAGGCGGAGTTCTGCGCGTGTCTCTTGGCCAGGACTGTCTCGACTTAGGTCTGATCGAAAATGCTTATGATGCTGTAGTACACGTCCATTCCCTGGCAGAGGACTGGTCCTTGAACACTGCCAAAGGGCGAGAAGCTTAAGCACGGATACTGCAGCTCTATAGGTGTGAATCTTGGTTTATTGTTCCTTGCTTCCTTTCTTGCAGTAACGCTGCATGTGATGAGCCAGTTTCATGTGCCTAATGTCATGATCCACAGGCAGATCCAACAGTTTGAAAAGCAGATTCTGTTGACAGACATGTCGCTTGGTCATGTCCCTCACCAAGCAGCAACAACCCAATGGTTGTTCGCAATGCACTGACGCCCTGGACGTGTATGCCACCTGTGACAGCTGCTGAACGTAACATTCCATGGAGCGCAAATCATAAGCCGACGAGATTGAGATGATGAGCTGCGTACCAAGTGTTTGTTCAAATATTGTGGAACAGGGGTGTGGCGGGCAGCTGCTGAACGGCAGATTTGGAGGTGGGTCATTGGCACTTCAATTGTTTGTAGAAATTGCTGGCTTCGATCTCCACCGCGCAGTGGAAGTTCGTGTTTTTTGGCGTGGGCATTGGCTGGGCCATGCTGGGCCCAATGCTGGGTCTGTTCTTGCTTATCTTGGGATCTGAAGATCTGACTGTAAATTCGGCACCATCGCGTGACTTGTCGTGATGTGAGCACACCTCCATCGCCTTTGCGGCCGCGAGCAATGCCAAGCAGGGCACTACCATGTCGAGTTGCAGTGGTCACCTCGTAGACTTTGCTTACCGAAGGAGACAGGCTATGACTGCGGAGTGAACGGCCAACAGGTTGCCTCTCAGGGGCTTGTATGCGATCCGCATACTCATACTACTGTGCTCTACCTACCACACCCTTGCGCATGCAAGAATGCAGCGTGGTTCTGCGCTTCCTGCATGTTTGTCTTTGTTTCATGTGGGGTTGTGCAAGCCACGTAACCAAGGCCCGGCCGTTCGGTGATCAGGATGTGGAAGAAATTCCAGGAGAAACACGACAAGACGCGGGTGACTGCTCTCTCCGCCGTTTGGATACTAGCGCTTCCTGGCTTCTATTCCTCCTCTTGAGGAAGATTACATCGCGGCTTCCAGCATCTCTGCCCTCACCGCAGCGGTCGGATCCTCGAGAGACCGTGCGCTTCGAAATGCAAGCTACGTCCGCGAGTGCAGAACATGTTTCCTAGGAATTGGCAAACATCCGCTCAAAGGTGGCTGCCAAGGCGAGCTGAATCTTCAGAGTGCAGTTCCTCGCTGCTGTGTCAGAATTGCAACAGCCGAGGGCAGTCCAATGTCTAAGTTTGGCTCAGGCCAATGCGGCAGCGCGTCCCAGCGCGGAAGTTCCTTAGCAGCAAAACCGAACAGGCAGATTAGCAGATTCAGACAGAGTGCCGTTCATTCGAGCTGATTCTCCATAAGGGCCCAGCGAAAGCCGAGAACGAAGAGTCAGAAAAGGAGGAGGCAGCAGAAAAGGAAGAGGCTCAAATTTGCTGCTGGGCAACACTGCATACAAGGTAAGTGTGTTAAGTCGACCCGCAGCGGCGTGACCTTGGGTGCTCCCACTGAAAACAGATATGCACCCCAGCCTGGAGACATGCTTAGTGGTCAGCCGGTAGCGGTGTTCATAGGGATTCCTGTTGAAAGCATATGTCGATTCCATGCCTGGAGATATGCAAAACGGTCAACCCACGGCAGTGTGAACGTGGGGGATTCTGCATGAAGGCATACATCTCGACCCTGCTGGGCCATATGCAAGAACCATGAAACAATCCAGTACAGTGCGCGGTCTTTCTTTGAGCTTGGATATGTTGCGATGCCACTAGTGTCTCGAGTTGGTGCTTGCGTAATCCAGCGTCTTGAAGGGGAATGGCTGGTGTTGATTTGCTGTTTGCTGCGATGCCACTATGTTTCTCGAGCTGGTGCTTGCGAAATCCAGCGTCTACATGGGCAATAGCTGGTTTTGATCGTCTGCCGCTGATGTGGTTCTTGAGCGGGTGCTTGCGAAATCGAGCGTCCACATGGGGGGTGGCTGGTTTTGATCTTCTGCCGCTGATGTGTTTCTTGAGCAGGTGCTTACGAAATCGAGCGTCTACATGGGGAATGGCTGGTTCTGATGTGTTGTGTTGCGAGCGGGTGGTTGTGGAATCGAGTGTCTACATGGAGACTGGCGGGGTGCTGGGCGCACAGATAGAGTCGTTTTCGAGGTGCCGCGCTGGTCCTCCTGTTTATGAACTCTTGCTATCCGAAACAGTCTCGGTCACTTTGTTTGGCTGGAGACGCACACCTACCTCCACCTCCGCACACATGTGCGCACACATTCACACTGTCTTGCCCTTGAGCTTGTGAACCGAGTGTCTACATCGGGATTGGCTGGTTTTGTCACCTGTCGAGAAGTGTGCCGGGTATCAGGCAGGTGAGCACTTCTCAAATCGAGCGTCTACATTGGGGAATAGCTGTATTGGGGAATAGCTGTTTGTGTGGGTTGCAGGTTGCCGAGCTTAGTTGCTCTAGTTCTTCAGTTTTTGTGGAGAGTACCACATTTCGTGTTGATGTTGTGAATCGGGCCGTGCTTTTGAATCCTGGCGTGTACTTGGGGATTCCCAGAACTTTTCACTTCGATTCGTTGCTCTATGGCTTCAGTTTTTGTGGAGAGTGTCGCATTTCTTATCGATTTTGCACATCGGGCCATCCCGTTGAAACCTAGCGTGTATTTGGGGATTCCCAGATCTTTTCTCTTCGATTCGTGCCTCTATGGCTTTAGCTTTTGTGGAGAGTGTCGCATTTCGTATCGAATTTACACATCGGGCCATCCCCTTGAAACCCAGCGTGTACTTGGGGATTCCTAATCTATGGGTCGACTTTTTGCGGGTGGGTCGACTTCACACGAATCGAGGCGTATACATGGGGGTGGGTTGACTTCACGCGGGATGGGTCGACTTAACCCTGCGCCTGTAGTGTGCAGTCAGCGATAGTCAGTGTGCAGTGGTGAAGCCGTCAAAAAAGCCGACAGCTCGCAAGCACGCAGGCTGCAGCAGACGACAGTGACGAAGATGAGAAGGACTTCCGGAACAAAAAGCGTTCACAGGGTTTACAACAACTGGTCACGCCTGTGCATCACTGACAGGAGGGTTGTGTATGCTAAGCGCAGGTGAGTGGTCTGTGCAGGATGCAGAGGATGTAAGCGGTGAAAAGGCAGACGGAGCTCAGGACCCTGGACATGCATCAAGCATCAATGTCAATTTGTGCTTTGTGCATCTGGGTAGTTCTCTAAACTCTAAATTAGGGTCCCTTTTAGGAGTATTTGGGGGATGTAAAAAGGGACCAGTCCCCTGCCAGGATGAAGTTCTGGATGTTGGCCAGGAGTTTGCAGCGTTGCATGAGTCTTGCATGGCCTGCTATGCATGCAGGCTGAATAGTGACTGACATCACCTGATTGCCCACCGTGCTTGGCTTTCCTGCACCAGTGCTGTTAGGAACGGTAGTGACAAAAGCAGAAATGGTGAACAAGAATGTCTTCACTCCCACCACCGACTCCTCTTATCAACGTACAGCAAGTGATGGACACACTCCAATCCAAGTGGTGCTGTTGCGGGGAGCGCCGCAGCAGGTGTGGTAGAACCATGCACCTACCTCACCCAGCAGAAACTGAGGGATCTACTTGTCGTGCTGTCCAAAACAGCCAGAAGCCTGGCATTTTAGTGATATCTTACACGTCGTACACAGTCCGATCCAAGATGGAGGCAGGCTAAACCATCAGGGGGAGCCATTCGAGTCGGCAGCTCACTGGGGAATGCTTTCATGAAGCTTACACTGCTGGTGGCATTGGTGGCCGATCGCTGAGCGAATGAGGTGCTCTCCCTTGTCCATGGAGAAGTACTCTTTCGTGCAGCGGCTGGGACAAGGCACCTTGGCCATACCCTGCCACTTCACAGCTGGCTTCTGTCTGAGCCACGCTGCACCGGGCAAGGGCTGCTCGAAAGTGAATTGACTTTGTGAAAGGTGCCTTTGCTGTGGTATGGAAGGCACGCCGGAAGTCGGCATGGGCCACAGCTCTTTCGACTTCAGACATTTTTATATAAGATGTTGCGAACTTCCACATCTGCTCTGTATGCAAAGACAGTACGCATGGTCCCTGCGAATTTCTCTGAGGACGGCCGGCTTGTCGCTGTCAAGCAGCTAAAGCAATCGCCAGAGCCGGGCTCTGGATGTGCACGCTGTGAATCGCAGTGTGCTCTTGGATGCTCGTTGCAAGCCATTGCAAGCCTTCAAGCCAGCCACAGTGACTGTAGCGATCATAGCCAGACCGCGAGTGACCGAGTGCTTCCCGTGTTGCCCACTTCAGAGCGAGCTTTAAGGTCCTGGGAAGCATGCAAGCAGCTTCCGGAGGTGGGTGACAGTTCATGACGCCGGAAGGTTGCATCTTTATCAGAATGACTCTGAGAGGTGCGGGCCGCCGCGGCCATTTCGGATCGGAGGTCTACCGGAAAAATGAACAGGCCAGAGCAGCAGAGAAGAGCGGCTTGCCATTTCGAGGCATCTGGTGCAACTCCTGGAGGCAGTACGGCACGGTGAGCGCCCCAGCACGTGGCCGGCACTTCGACAGCCAGCACAGACGTGGCGACGCCGTGGCGAGGTGGCGAACTCTTCCTAGTTTTTGAGTACGTCGAGGGCAGCCTGCACCACTGCATTGCCCCTCGCAGTCAAAAATAAAACGTGCTGTGCTCCAAGAGATTCCAAGAGACGTCCAGACAGGCCGCTGCCCGCCGTGTCGAAGAATCCCAGGCTTGGGCGTCCCGAACAAATGCTTTGGACCGTCAAGCAACACAGGTGCGCTGGGCAGCACGACGGCTGCTGATGGCACTGGCTGCGGTGCTCACCCGATCGCGCTTTCAACTTTGATCTGTTGGGTTTCACAAGCGTCACGTAAAGGACAGCAGTCCGATCAGATTTCGGGATGTTGGAACTTCTCGCTTTCTGTGCAGGTTCATGCGGCAGGCTTGGTCCACTGTGATGTCAAGCGAGAGGCTCAGTGGTACTTTGGAAGGCTGTTTCTCTGAAAGCTAAGGTCCTGACTTTTTCACAGGTTGCCGGAAAGTCCTTCAGATCTTCAGATTGAAAACACGATCCTGGCTCATGATTCAGCGTGTTTCATGTTGCACCTCTACAAATCCTTCCTTGGCAGTGCTGTTTCTCCATTCTTTAGTGAGGCCGGAAAACATCCTTGTCGGGGGAAGCGAGAGCGGCGGTCGTGGAGCAGCGGCCTAAGACCGTGCGTCTCCGCGCCTCTTGAAGTGGCTTGTGCCTGTGTTCTCAGGCTCCGACGATGAAACTTTGTGACTTCGGACAGTCCGGGCCACCCGGGGCCGCTTGGCAACATGTTGGTGTTGCAAAGGCTCACGGACCAGCACGAAGTGGACCAAGTCCACGACAGGTTTCGAAAAAAAAATGCAGATCATGGACAGCATGGCTTCAGGTGTTGGCCTTGTCAGCTGGATCCGGTCCAGCATGCCGGTCTCCCATTGCCAGTCGCCTTCTTGGTTGTTCGTGTACTTTGATTGTCTTTTTTCACCCCACTTGGCTGGTGGGCTCGTGGGTGCAATGTGGCCGGTGGGGTCGGACGGGTGCGGCAACACCCACCTTTCTGAGTCAGGAGGGTTGGCTTTGTTTTTTTCGTGGCTTCCTCTCTCTATACTTCCCCTTCTCCCTTCTCTTCCCCTCTCACCCTCCTTGAGGTGCGCCACTGGGGCGCAGCCTATCGATGACAAGAATGTCTGCTTGAGTTCCCTGTCGCGCTAGCCGCTATCCCGTGCGTGCTGCGCCTTTCCTTGTTTGGCCTCGGCCGTTGTAGAAAGGACTTCTTCATTAAGTCCGTAGTGCATGGGTTACATTGTATAGGCCATTAGGCTCAGAGTGTGCACTGGTTGTGTCAGTTGTGTCAGTGTTATGTCTCACAGCAAGTGTGTGACCAGCCGCAAAAAAAATAGAACGGTTTGTCCGTGTTGAGGTATAGTAGCTGCTGCAATCGCTAGCCTCGTGTTAAGGTATAGTAGCTGCTGCAATCGCTAGCCTTGTCTTGTGCTAACCCTAGTAGCCTCCGTGGTCAAGCCGCTCATGTTTCGCAGCTCGTAAAGACGCTGCTACTCGTAGTATAGTACATGTTGAGAGCTGCACCTGACAAAGGAGATTGCGACCTATGTCGGG